CACATCAGTCAGGATACCCGAGGGTCACACACATACGCAGGATTTTTTACAGAATGGCTCCATCATGATATTTTTAGTTTCAGCTCCAAGGCTAGAGACCCTCCCACAGACCAAAGTACAGATACCAGCAGCAAAGTTCAACTTTGTGAACCAATGAGTTTTGTTGAGGTTACTTTACAGCTGCATCACCAAAGCCCACCTCAGACAGATGGGAGATAGTTCACAGAGCTGGGAACCTGGAGCACACTGCACATTGAAAAAGCTGCTCAGCAGGCGAGAGCGTGTCCATTCCAGGTACCCCAGTGGGTCTACACCTCTTCCCGGAAGATCTACTGGCTTCTGCTTCTTTCAGGCAACTGGCCAGATCTAAGAGCTTTTCCTTTGCAGCTTGTCTTCCCTCTGTCCGAGAGGGATTGTCAACTTTTATTACTGACTCCGTCGGGGAGGAGCCTCGTGTGAATCTATTCAGTTCCAGGGACTTCCTGAAGGTATTCTGAGTTAGTTGCTCACCTTCGTGCTTAAGGAGCTTCTTGCAGGACGGAGTGTTTTAATCCTGGGGAGGGTGGGGAACCGTAACATACAGGTGATGAAAGCAAACGTAGCTTTTTTTCCCTACACTTCCGAGGCATCTGTGACAAGACATCATTCAGCCACAGGAGACTAAAGCAAACTGGGAGCACTACACCAAAGGTGGTCGGGAACAGCTGGGCACAGTGTCTCCAGCCTCAGGCGAGAGACAACGAGTGCCTGTTGTGATTTTTTTAAAAATGTATTTGTTATGTATACAGTGTTCTGTCTGCAGAAAAGGGCATTATTACAGATGGTTGTGAGCCACCATGTGGTTGCTGGGAATTGAACTCAGGACCTCTGGAAGAGCAGTCAGCGCTCTTAACCTCTGAGCCATGTCTCCAGCCCTTGCCTGTTGTGATTTTTAAAACACTGCAAGGAGAAGTCACATAGGAGGCTTTATTGGAAGGGGAGAAAGCAAAGGGGGCAGAGACTGGTCCCTGGGGACAAGAGAGGGGGAGGGGGAGAGAGAGAGAGCAGAAGAGAGGGAGGGGGAGGGATATGGGAGGTGGGCGGGGCCCCTTTTAAAAGGGGAAGTGGTGAGTGTGCACAGGCGGTGCTCTCAGTGGCTGCAGCTGAGGATGTATCCTGTCAGAACTCCAAGGACAGGCCAGCACAGATGCCAGAGTACTAACAGTGCCCTCTGTCCCTTCCAGAACAGGCCGGTTCACGCCTGGAAGGGGAAAAGGTCAGCTTCTTGGCGGTGCAAACGTAATCCCATTATATTAAGTTCTTTAACATAACTCTAAGTCACCCCGTTCTGCTTCCTGTGTCAGAGAGGGTATACTGAGGTGGCTTTGGCAAGTGGCCTCATTGCAGCAGCTGGAGGGTTTTACCTTTCCTTTCTTTTAATGGGCAGTGACGCTCTTCCCCCTAGTCACGTCCTGTCAATGCTGTCTTCCCCGAAGAACTTTCCATCTGGGAGGAATAGCTTCACTTTGTTCCTTGGGGTGTCTGCTTGCTGCCAGAGGGCCAGAGAAGCCGCTGGTCGTCATCCAGACTGAAGTTAGCAGTGCTACAGGAGGGTGGCGGATGTGGGGTGGCGCATGTCAGTGAGGGCAGAGTGTGGATTTGGTAGGTGCAGGGCCGTCCTCGTCACATGCCTCACTGTGACAGGCTAGCTGAGGGGTTAGGTCCTGTTTGAGTTGCAGCCTCTGCTGCTTACCAGCCTCAGACATGGTCATGAGACAGGATCTCTTAGTGCCTCATTGTCCTCAACTGCATAACTGGGGTCACAGTTGCAGGGCTTGAAACACAGTATCGGAGGAAGAAACCTTAAAAAGACAAAACAAAACAAAAAGCCTTCCTAGTCCGTGCTGAGCACCTGGCATGAGAATCACCCATGTGCTCCTGTGATAAGGTTACTGTGGGATCAAGGCCCCAGAGAAGGATGTACTAACTAAGGGAAAGCAGGCCCCAGAGAAGGATGTACTAACTAAGGGAAAGCAGGCCCCAGAGAAGGATGTACTAACTAAGGGAAAGCAGACCCCAGAGAAGGATGTACTAACTAAGGGAAAGCAGACAAGCCCGGTTATGGACTCACTGTGCATCCCTCAACAGAAGTGACTAAGAAGTGGCTGTTTGTTAGCAGCCCAGGCCAAAGAGCAGTTTATCTTGGTGTTGACCCAAACAGGCCACAAACCAAGACAAACACTCTTTGATGTGCTCTGCCTCTGGCCGGGGACTTATTCTGATCATCCTGTGCCAGGCAGGGAGAAACCTCAGTTAAGTGTCCAGTGGAAAAGTGTATTGAATGCAGCAGAGGGAGTAGCAGCCGTGGCCTGGGCATCTGACACTGCCCAGGTGTCTGTGGTGATCCCCCCCTTTCCCCACGGATGCCTGTGGCGAGGTGAGTATGTGGCTTTTCCAGTGGGAAATACTAAGCATCCACCTGGCATCTGCAGCGTGAACAGTTAAGATTCAAGTTTAGGCAATGTGTGACAAGATTCTCCCCAGCCACACCCGATTCACCTTCTAATGTAAGAGCAGGAGGTTCCTAAGGGACAAAAGCCTTACTCCTGACCTGTCTTCCAGTTTCAAGTGTCCAGATCTATGGCCTAATGTGATTCTGTGTCTCAAGGAGGATGCTACTTTTGGTCCAGAGATTAAGCCACCGAGTGATCATCTGGTGTTTGGGACCTGGGGACCCAGAAGCTTTCGGGAAGAACCTTCTTAGTGCTCAAGAATCTCTTCCCCTTTGGCCTTATGCTACAAAAGAGTTGTGACGGGGGATGTCCTTCTGTGTATATGTTTCTCTTATTGGTTGATGAATAAAACACTGTTTGGCCTATAGAGGCAGGAAGATAGGCGGGACTAGGAGATGAGGAGAATTCTGGGAAAGGTAGGCAGAGAGAGAGAAAGAGAGCCTGCCAGGGAGATGCCATGTGGAGACCAGGAAGATAGGACATGCCACGTGTTCTCTGGTAAGATAAGGCCATGTAGAAATACATAGATTAATAGAAATGGGTTAGTAATAAAGGCACAGCTAGCCAATAAGAAGCCCTAGCCATCGGCCAACAGTTTTATAATGAATATAGTGTCTGTGTGGAGTTTTTTTGGTTGAAGCAGCAGCAGGTCCTGGCTGAATAAATAAAAACTCCAGAAACAGAGTTGCTTTAGGAAACAGGTGCCATCCTACTACCTGCTGGGAATTTTGATGGGAAAGTGGTTGTTTCCCCACATGCATTGACCAAAGCAGGAAGAGCAAGACCCTGGGTGAACATTCAGCTACTCCTGAATCACCTTCGGGCCATTTCTACGTTCTGGACACTTTCCTGGGTATAGAGCAGGTGCAGCCGGCTTCCTTCCTAGGGGAGTATCCAGGAGTAGAGGAGAAAACAAAAAACAAAACAAACAAACAAAAAAACCAGTGCATGTGGTATTGTGAAACCTAAGGGGAGGGCATTCAGCTGGGCTTGTTGACAATAAATAGATAAGACATTAATGTCTTGCATTTGCCTCATTCAGGGAAAAAAAAGACCAACTATAGAAAAGCAAAAAAACAAAACAAAACAAAAAAGCAAGTCAGATGACCCTGGCCCCAGCTACTCCAGAGCTGAGGCAGGAGGATGGCTTGAACTCAAGAGTTTGACACCATCTTGGGGAACCAAAAGAAACAAAACAAAACACCAAGAAGTTGATCTGTGTCTTCAGCTGGGACAGGACCTCTGCTGTTGGCTTAGGTGGAGTTAGTGCAGCAGGCTTGTGCTTTACAAAGCAAAGTCTCTGCAAGGTCGTCTAGTTACCAGTGTTCCAAAGAACTTTATGTGGAAGACTGTTTTTGTATCCGGACAGCGAGGACCAGGATGGAGCATCCTTCAGAATCCAGGTCTGCTGTGTGGACACGTGGACCCTTGAAAGTATCCCGCCTCAGCTCTGAGCAGGACATCCGTGGTTCAGCAAATTTTACGCCTTGCCTCTTTTGATCCTGCATGACTAAGCATGGGTCGTGCCCGGCTGCCTCTTTGTGGTGAATACACTGGACCCACAAACAAGGCAGGGGAGCATCAGAGTTGGCCTGAGTGTTGACAGTGTCTCTTCACGGAAACTGCAGAGCTGATGAGGACTGTGACCAAAGCCGAGGGGTCTGAAGCTCCGGGAAGATTGTTCCCTGGACCAGGGAATCCGGCCCTTCCATTGGGTCCTCAGTGTTCCACCAGGCTGAAGGAAGGAGGCCCTCAGAGAGATGCCTACAGGGAAGGTCTATTGACAAGCCACCTCTTGGAAGTCTGTGATGGTTTCCTGGGATGATGCAGAGCTGTTTGACTCAGGCATTAAGGAATCTTCCTGCTGCAGATCTGGGTTAGGAAGAAAGGCTTCAGAAAACTCCTCAGGTCCAGGTGGGAGACAGGGTGATGTCCTGCAGAGACAGGAAGCTGACAGTAAAAGTGTCCCAGGGCCCACAAAGATGCCTTGCTAGTTATAGTAAGTGGAAAGGGTTTTCTTAACCATAGGCATCCTTGATTCCAGAGAGACCATACTGTTTTTCTAGATGGTAGATGTATCTTGATTGACATCTTGGAGAAAATAAAATGCCAGTCTGCCCTGAAAGTCCCCAGGTATGCACATGCAGGGGTCCCTGACTGCCCTCACCATCCCTGTAGCAGCATCTTCAGTTAACCAGTACTGTGTAGACCCCAAGCCAGGTAAAGGGCCAGGATACCACCACAGAGAGTGATCAGTGGGTGCGCAGCCTTGTCTGTCTCTGATATGCCCCAATGGCATTGGAAGCTTGTTCCAGTCAAAGGCAAAATTTTCCCTTCCAGAGTGTTATGGGTCCTCAGGCTTCAGTGCCTGTAGTTAGAGTAGCGTGTCCTTGTTTTCTTTGCTGCTGTGTTTGCAAATGTCAGCTCTTGTGAGAGCCTCCTGAGACATGTGATGCATGCAGGATCAGCCGGTTTGAGAGGCGGGCCCCCACGCTCCCACATTCATGGGAATATGTGCATGGCCAAGGGAGACTAAGCCGGGACACTTGGTTTTGCTGCTTTAATCCCCTGATCATGTGCCATTCTCTGAACCCTGGCTTCCTTTGCTCTCTCTATTTCAGCTTGTAGAAATGAAGTCTGGTCTGCAGCACGAAATCTGGTCACACTGGTGGCCTAAATGGCGGCCAGGTCTTTCTTCACATGCAGCAGTGGCACAGCCTTTGCCTAAGGTAAGTCTAAGAATAGAATATACTGCTCACAGCTTATCTCATCCAAGAAACTTGAAACTTTCCTTAGACTTCATCCTTGGAGCATGTCCACCTTTCCAAGGAGTCCCCAGGGACCAGTGGTATGTGAGTCCTACTACCAAGAAGGAGAAAACGGCCACTGCTCAGTGCTTAGAAGAAGTGTATCACTTGCTCATACAGGCTTACAATACACACAGAGGCACAGGCACAGAGCAGATACCTGCACACCCAGGATTGCATGAAAACGTATGCAAATGCCTCACACAGGCAAACTACACACACACACACACACACACAGACACATTCACAGAGAGACTGACAGACACACACACAGAAACATACACAGACACATACACACACAGACACCCACACAGAGACATACACACAGAGACACAGACAGACACACACAGAGACAGACAGATACACACAGACAGACACATAGGTAGACAAATACACAGACAGACACACAGAAACACACAGAGACACAGATACACAAAGACACACACACACAGAGACTGAGACACACCCACACAGAGACACACACAAACAACACACACACACACAGTCTACACACCCATATTCACATATGCAGGTGCATATCACACTCAAAGTGAAGGAGGCATTATTTTCCGTGCTCCTCCTCTGGGCCCCCTGTGGTGCTCACATGTTTGGATGCCCTGCTGAGGGAATAGGAGTGGAGGCTATAAACTATGAGGGGAGAGCGTACGGTATGGGCAGCAAGGTTGTGGCGATAGGTAGGACAGACGGGTTACTTGTATCAAGATCGGAGGCTACTAAGGGATATGGCTTTTTCCTTTTTATACGGAAGTCGGGTAAGAAGTACGGGCCTGGAGGGCGGGGACCTAGGGAGTGAGTCAGAGCTGCTGCTGCCACCTACTTTCTGGCTGGTGACTGGGGGGACAGGGTGCGGGGTGGGAAAGGAAGGGGAGTCGAGCGTCCCTCCCCCTCTGCCTACTGCGATAAAGGCAAGGCCAAAGATGAGGGTCCTCTGCCAAGGTGATGGCGGTGCCCGGACAGAGTGAGGTCACTGCCTTTGGGTGAGACTGGTTTCCTAACGGGAGAGAGGAAGGAAACAGCAGAGAGCTGACGCTGTGCCAGGACCAGGAAGGGAGGAGGGCTGTCCTGGCTGGCACTGGGCGGAGCGGGGAGGGGGGGTGCATGAGCTGACTGCACCTGCAAAGAAAGTCACACCCCAAGGGGAAGGTGGGGTAGACACTTTTTAGGTGGGAGTTGTGAGATGGGGCATGGCAGAGCTGACCCCCCCCCCGGGACTGTGACCCCAAAGGTACTTCCTCTGCAGTGCAAGACTGGGTGACCATTTCCCACTGAGAGTTCTTGTCTCTGAACTGCGGGCTGTTGGACACCATAGTTTCAACCACCTGAGTGTGTGTAGGAGGCAAGCCCTTTTAATTCCTTCAGCAGCCATCTCCGGTCAGAGGGGCTTCCAGCTATTTGAGCCTCGGGTATCGAGAGAGTTTGTGGGATTTGGAGCTTATCTTGTGCCTCTCAGTTCCGTGGCCTTTCTTTACTCAGAGAATGGACTGCCAAGAACAAGTGATGACAGGTAGAGCCTCGCCTGAGGACCTGCCAGGCTGCCAAGCCCTTGAGCACTGGCTGTCCTTGTTCCCCTGCTCCCTTTGCCTATCGCCGGGCCGTGGTGGAGTCAGTCTTACCTCCAAACATCCTTAAAATATTTTGTCATTTTCCCGCTTCTGCACAAGCTGGGGGACTGTTTTATTTATTTATTTATTTTTCTGATTTTCATGAGAAAGCCTGCTGGAACTTTTCTCAGAACGTCATAGCCTGTAGACCTGTCAGTAAAGGAAGCTGTTGCAATGCCGAGGCTTGCTTTCATAGACACGAGTCGTCTCCCCCCCACCCCATCTCGACCCCCTCCCAGTTTGCTCAGGGTCCTTCTGTGTAGTTCAACACAGCTTTACAATTCCTGGATCCGAGCCCCGACCTTTTTCAGGTTCCCCTCCCCTCCGTGTTTCACAGTTCTTGTCACTGTTAACAATGTATCTTTTCTTGTTTCTGTGTTTTTTTCTTTTACTTTTGAGATTATGATACAATTACATCATTTCTGCCCCCCCTTTTTTGTTTTTTTGTTTGTCACTGTTAAAAATGTATCTTTTCTTTGTTTCTGTGTTTTTTCTTTTACTTTTGAGATTATGATATAATTATATCATTTCTGCCTCCCCTTTTTTTTCTAGACAAGTTTTCTCTGTGTAGCTTTGGAGGCCATCCTGGGACTAGCTCTTGTAGGCTGGTCTCGAACTCACAGAGATCTGCCTGCCTCTGCCTCCTGAGTGCCGGGACTAAAGGCGTGCACCACCAACACCACCCAGCCTTCTGCCCTCCCTTTATACCCATCCCGAATACCCCTCCTTGCTCTTTTTCAAATTCATGTCCTCTTTTCCATTAATTGTCACATGAGTGTATATGTATATACATGTATCCTTCTCAATATAACATGCTCAGCCTGTCTGCATTATGTTACTAGGATGTGTGCCTTCAGGGCTGGTTACTGGGTAACCAATTGGTGTGCTCTCCCCTGGGAAAGACTACTTCTCCTACTCTCAGCATCCCTCAGGGGTCTAGTTCTGGGTGTACAGTTAAGACTTCCTGGGCTTCCCCCACCCACTTTGGTATATCGATTGTTGTCCTTGGTCAGCTCATGTTTAGGTAGTCCTGCTGGTGAGACTTTATGGGGGATAACTTCTGATGTTGTTAGGGGACACACACTCCCTGGCCCCCTGGCTCTCCCAACCTTCCCACTCCCTCTTCTGCAATATCCCCTGAGCCTGAGGTGTCCTGGGGATGTATCCACTGGGACTGGGCTCAACAACTCTGCATATCTCCATCGGGTTGTGGTTTTCTGCAGTGGTCTCTATCTGCTGCAAACAGAAATTTCTTTGATGAGGGAGGAGGACTACATGTATCTGTTGGTATAGAGACAAATGTTTAGAACGTAGTTAGGGATTTGCCCTGCCTTAGTAGATGGGTGGTTGTAGGTTCCCCCTTCAAAATCCATGAAGGGGTAGTGACGTTGGTTAGGTTTCCAGTACCAGACTTGATTTGCCTCTTGTTGAGCGGGTCTTAAGCCCAATTTAGAGGGCTGATGGCTGTCACAGTGTTTCCCCACATCCTGCAGCTCTCAGATTCATTTCCACCCCTCTTCCACAAACTTTCCAAAGACACATGATGGTGGTACCCTCAACAATCCTTTATTCTGGCTTCTTGTGCAGCCACGGGTCTTTGTCTTTATCTCTGTTCCCTGTAAGGAGAGGCCTCTATGGGTAAAGCTGAGAGTATCCTTTGTGGATGTAACCATAGATATTTTGATCTGTGTCAATTTAATTATGTGGCTTCCAACCCTATGCTACCATCTAAGTAGGGGGTTACTGTGTTGTAAAGTCTCTGAAAATGTTGTCACCTTGGTGCCATGTGAGTAGTCATAACATTTGGGAGAAGAGTTGGTTCTGACTACTGAAGTGTAAAATGTGCTACCCTTGGCCTCAGCAGCTCCCCTGAAAGGAGCTTATGCGCTATGTCCTGGGGCACTTATGGGTACTTGAATAGAAAGTATAGACAGGCACAAGTGGACTTAGAGAGAGAGGCAGGCAAGCTGGGATTCTTACAGCACTCTGGAATGCCTACTGGAAACCCAGAGAAGGGTAGACGGGTTGTGGTCCACATATGGCTGCTTTGTAGGCATCACAAGAATGGTGTGATCCAAAGCCACTGGCGTGAGAATATTCCTCACTGAGAGGTAATTAAAAGAAGCTGAAAGGATTGGAGTTAGCGAGGACGTGGTGGTGGAATCTCTAACAAGTGTATGTATTTCCTGTATGCGCACACACACAAGCGTGTGTGAGTTTATTGAAACAGGGAAGAGCTTGAAAAGTGTACCACATAGATGATGTTGACAAGTTGAGATGGGAGCAGGGAGGTTAGAGGAAGGGACAGATAGAAGCCTGCCCACCCTAAAAAAAAATCAAAAGCCTGTTTAGAAAAGGATTATGGCTCACAGATGCTTAAGTTCAATGCCCTATCTGAGTAAACAGTCTGTGGGCACAGATAAATATGACCATGGCCACCAACACTTCAACTGTGGTTCCTGCAGGGCTAGAGAACCTGTGAATTTTCCTTATTTATTGGCAGGACTTGGGTTGAATCAAGGACACTAAGCATGTATCACTCCACCGCTAAGCCCTAGCCCCAGCCCGACTTCCCAATGTTAAAGCATGACCATCATTCTTACATGAAAATAATTCTTCATAATTACTTATTAGGAAAAAAACAGCACGAAAATAAGCACTTGCAGAGAGAGAGACAGAGAGACAGAGAGAGAGTTCATGAAGCGCTTGGCCCAGCGTGTCCTATGTCTTTGATGGGAATAACAGGCAGCTGATGAGGAGGCCTGGCTGGCAGGCTCGGCTCCTTTGGGCAGGACTCAGCAATGCCCAGAATGCTGGGGCAGATCAGTGTGCAGTTACCAGGACCGAGACCAAAACACTTCACAGCTCTATTTCCAGTCATTTAGGAACAAGTGTGATTCGATGAGCCCAGGGTTGTGTGGCTTTCACTAAGTGAAGTGGCCACTTCTTTCAGAATGTCACCTCTGCTCCATACTTTCTGGCTTAGAAAAAGGGACAGCGCTCTTCTAAAAGAAAAAAAGAAAAAACCTAAAAAACAAAATCACTCTTCTAGGAAAATGGCTTCTAGGCTCCACTTAGCCATGTGCTGGAGCTCTAAACCCCAGCCTTTCTAGAGATTAGCTATTTCAGCTCTCATAGGTGAAGCCACAGCTGCACGATTGAGGGGGGTCTCTAGGTGTTCCAGTTCTTTTTTTCTTTTCTTTTCTTTTCTTTTCTTTTCTTTCTTTTTCGAGACAGGGTTTCTCTGTATTGCTTTGGACTCTGTCCTGGAACTCGCTCGGTAGACCAGGCTGGTCTCGAACTCACAGAGATCCACCTGCCTCTGCCTCCCGAGTGCTGGGATTAAAGGCATGCGCCACCAATGCCCGGCCCCAGTTCTTTTTTTTCTTAAATTTTCTTTAGATGATTACCTTTTTGGTGTTGAAGGCAACCAGTGAGAACTTTAAAACGTAAGGATCCTTTTGTTAACAACAACAACAAAAAAGATGGTAGTTTATTTATTTCGTCATCAATGGGCTTCATGGAATAAGGAAGAAATTAGTCATTTTGGGTTGCTTAAAACCAGAGAGGTTGTCAATGCTGCTGCGATGAGTATTGTGCAGGGTTAGTTACCTTCCAGTCAGTTTTCCAAGTAAACGCATTTGTGAGTGACCTGCCAAGCTCTGCGCAAGAGGGCATTTGGTGTCCTCAACATAGCTGCTGGCTGAAGAGTTGAAATACGTCTAGACTCCACTGACACCCAAGCAAACAGTCCTGAGATATTAAACACAGATCAAATTTGGTGTCCTGCTAGTTGAAGAGTTGAAATACATCTAGACTCCACTGAACCCCCGCAAGCAAACAGTCCCCGAGACATCAACTCTACTTCCGAAGGTGCCTAAGGACTAGCTCTGGAATCACACAACTGTTCTGGGAGAGAGCCCATGTCTCCTTCATGGGACACTGTGTTTAGTGTAACTAACAGACTTTGACTTGTGCTTATCTTAGTCTTTATACTGTAGCCTTCAGGGAAAGTGGGTGCTATGGAATTCAGAAGGTCTACCCTCCCAGCCCTGTTCAGTTCTCAAATGTCAGGGAAAAAAAAAACCAACCAACCAACTAACCAACCAATGACAACAAGAAACAGCCTATTTAGGAAATACTTTGCCTTTCTCTGTTTAACTACACGGGGAGGCCGCTCAGCAGAGCGGGTTAGTGGGGAGGGCTGAACTACTAATGTGACCCTGATGTCCACGGGGAGACGGGTGGACTTTTGAAGGGATCTGAGCTGGGTGATCTGATGTGTTATAGATACTTAGCTCTCTTTTTCAAGGTGGCATTAACCTGACCAGGCTGACCAGAAGATTCTGGAAGATTCTGTAACCACAGCCTGAGACAATAGATATCTAGTCTCTCAGTCAGTAAACTCCAGAGTGAAGGCCCAGTTACTATACATACATGGGTTGTTTATCCATTCCAAGAACTGAGATAGGTCCTGTGACTCATAGTCATGGGAGCTATCTTGATCCAAGGTGGCTTGGAGCAAAAGGAAGTCAGCTTGATGGCAGTGTGTCACCAGTACCCAAAAAACATTCAAGGGGTAGAGAGAGAACACCAGTACCGAAATCCCCAAGAAAATAAGGTTTAGGGAAAGCTTTGGGATAAATGGAATTAGCAAAAGCTATTAAGAGTCTTTCTGGAGAAAGTTCTGAACACATAGGAGCTTGAGACCATTGCCTGGTTGGGAACTGCATGACAGTTGTGAGCATGTGGGTGTGTATGCGCATGCCCCGGTGCTTCTAGATCTGTGTTCTGTGAGAAAGCATCTCTTGTAGGTGATGGCGCATAGTAAAGCTACTGCAAGGGTAGAAAAATTTCCACCTGCTACTCCTGGTCAGGGCTTATCCTTTCATAACTGCTTAATACATGCTATACACATGTGCAACAACATGTGTGCTCAATGATCTTCACCATTAGTGACACTCTGTCCAGATGACATACTTCTAAAAACCCTGGTTACATCAGTCAGACTTGGATAGGATCACTTCTTCAATTTGTGGCTGATAACCCTATCCATGGTGTTTGTTCACAACTTCCCAGGAAAAACCAAACAACAGAGGCCCACAGACAGTGGTCTGGGTCATGACGAATTAGTGATTCCTCTCAGGGGTAGGGTTAACCATGGTGGGGGCTCAGCCTCATTTTTTTTTTTTTGTTCTCCCTCAGGAACTCACTTGGGCTTCTGGTTTCTGACTTGCTATGAAGGGCCTTGCCAGGTCAGACCATTCTATACTGGACTTGCCGTTCTCCAGAACTGTGAGTCAAACTAAATGTTTAATCTGTGTAAGTTGTACAATCTTGATGTCCGGTAATAACAACAGAAGATGGGCTAAGACAAGCCTATCGCTGCAGGGCGTGGGAGGGAGAGCAAAGGCAGTCTTCAGTCAGTGAGCTAAGCCCACTAGTCTGATGTAAGAAGAGATTGAACATGGGACTTTAAATCTGCAAGTTTGGCTTTGGTAACCAAACACTGAACCAATAATAAGCCACCTTCTTTGTCTCAACAGTTGGAATTCCCCCAATTACCCAGTGAGGGCAATGCCAAGAAAATGACTGACTTTTGAAGTTTTATGTAAGATTCAGAAAATAAACTGTTTTGATACAAAGTCCAGCTAGAACATCACAATACATGGGTAAGTCTGAAACCTTGTCCCTCCTCGGAGAACCTAGCATGGATTCAATGGAACATTGATTTGTTTTATCGGCTCCTCTGTCTACAGCTTTCCTGTCAGGTTGGTAACTGGTTTAAAAACTTCGGCCAGGCACACAAGACCCTGTGTTTGGATGAACCTATGGCATCCCATTTCACAGAATCACGTAAGTTCCTACCTGGATCATAAAAGCAGATTTGGCTTGCCCGTGGGAATTACACTACACTTAAAGTGGGAGTTATGTGCTGTTGTCTGAAGGGCTTCGAACTGTACTTGCCTGCCAGACAGATAGTCAGAGACAAGTCTTCCCCGGCTCCACACTCCGGCTGGATGATAACCTCACGCCTGTGTTCTGCAGTCAAGGAGGAAGAGGAGCTACTCTTTGCTGTTGTTGTTTGTTTGTTTTGTAATGTTTTTATTTAAATTGGAAACATGAATGCTTCACATGTCAATCCTAGCTCCCTCTCCCACCCCTCCTCCCTTGTCCCTCCCCCAGCCCTCCAACCCCCCACCCAATCCCCACATCATTCCCCAGGGAGGGTGAGGCCCTCCTTGGGGAAATCTCTAAAGTCTGTCATTTCATCCAGGGCAGGACCTAGGCCCTTCCCCATGTGTCCAGGCTGAGAGAGCATCCCTCTATTTGGAATGAGCTCCCAAAGATCATTCTATGGTTACTATGGTAAACACCGATCTACTACCCAAGGCCCCAGTGATTTCTGTGACCTCCTCACTGAGACTACATTCATGGAGTCTGCTTCCATCAGTCACTGGATGAAGGTTCTAGGATGGCATATTAAGGTAGTCATCAACCTTACCATCAAGGAGGGGCATTTAATGTAGTCTCTCCATTATTGCTTTGTTTGCCAGTTGGTGTTATCCTTGTAGATCTCTGGAGATCTCACTAGTGTCAGCTCTCTCCTCAAACCTATACTGACTCAATCTATTATGGTATCTCTCATCCTGCTCTCCTCTATTCTTACCTCGACTCAACCTTCCTGCTCCCCCATGACTTCTTCTCCCCTCCTCTTACCCCCCTCTCTTTTTCCTGGCTCCCTCCCCTGATTTTCCCAATCTGCTCAGGAGATCTTGCCTCATTCCACTTCTCTGGGGGTATCATGCATCTCTCTTGGGAATCTCTCTGTTTCCCAGACTCACTGGCACTGGGATTGTAGGCTGACACTCCCCTGATCCTTTTCTAAAATCCATATATGAGTGAGTACATACCATGTTTGTCTTTTTCTGACTGGGTTACCTCACTCAGGATGGTTTCTTCTAGTGCCATCCATTTGCCTGTGAATTTCAAGATTCCATTGTTTTTTTTTTCTGCTAAGTAATACTCCATTGTGTAAATGTACCACGTTTTCTCTATCCACTCTTCAGCTGTGGGGCATCTAGGTTGCTTCCAGGATCTAGCTATTACATATAATGCTGCTATGAACATAGTGGAACAGACATCCTTATTGTGTGAGTGGGAGGAGCTGTTCTTGACATAGGACACCGGAACCTCCTATGGACTCAGGGATTTGGCACATTGTGTTTAGGGGATGGGCGAGTGCAGAGCCTGTCTGGGCCCGCGTTCCCTCCTACATTCCTATAGCTACATTCACACATGTGGCCGTGCTTTCGTTATTTATGATTGTCCCAGGTAGGGGAAGAACTGGGTGAGAAAGCTTCAAATACGTGGCCTGTCCTTCCTCCCCACCAAGGCAGATAGATACTCAGGAACTTCTAATTTCATGGGTCGCTCGTTTTCTGGTGAAGATTTTCTATTGCAGTGTCAAATTTATAGTCTTGTTAAAGACTCCTTTTCCTGGGAACCGTCATTCATTATCAAAGAGGAAGGGGAGCAGTGCCTGCCCAGGCTTGGATAGCACCTGGAAGTGCAGGGACGGTCAGTCATTAACAGTGTAGAGGCAGCCATCTGTGGGTTCGGCCCTGTGTGGGTCCAATTCTGCTCAGCCAAGCAAGCAAAGCCAGAAGATGCGGGGGGGTGTTGAGCCCAGTGAGGGAGCAAGGTTTGCCCTTTCTCAGAGGATGGTCCACGGCAGCCTCATCTACAGCTCAAGGTGGGAGCGTGAAGCTCACCCTTTAGTCCCCGGTGGTTATGGAAGCAGCATTTTGGGTTGAGTAGCACCATCTACTGCTTTCCAGCTGTGCGCTCTTGGGTTAGGGTTATGATAAAAATAGAGGTTCCGTGGTCTCCTCCTGGAAGTCTGATCTGAGATTTATTAAGCTTACCGTGAAGGGCTCAGGGGACACCTGGAGAGAGACAAGCACGTGGGAGAGAGGCACGTGGCGGCGCATTCACCCAGCTTCCTCTTCATAGCATGGAGGAACTGACTGCATGGAGGAACATCTCTGAGGCTCAGGGTCCCCAAAGCCCTTCACAGGTCTCCAGGATGTGTGGATGCAAGGACACACCCACAGAGAAGGCTGAAGCCCCCCCCCAATGGCTCTGCCTCGAGCATCCCAAAATCACTGCAGGAGAACCTTGTCAGGCACAGTGGTTCAGTGCTCCCCGATTGCAGGTAAGAGAACTTGAGGCAGAGAGAGCACACAGGCCCAGTGAGCCAGCACAGTCCTAGGAGGTGGAGAAAGGGGGTCTTAGGGAAGAGGCATAAGCCCAGGGAAAGACCACAGCAGGCTTCAGGCTCCACGGTGGAGCCGCAGACAACCCGGGACCAGGGTGGTGATGCGACTTCCACGGCACAAGCTCACGGGAAGCCGCTCAGTCACCCTGGCCCTCACCCTGCAGGACAGTGGTGCCTCCTCGGGGATAGTAACAAGACATGGAGGCTGAAGAAAGGGGATGGGGCCCAGGAAGTTTATTTTGCAGCTAATTTTCACAAGCTTGTTTAATCTATCACTCAGGTCATTTGTCAAGCTTCTCTGCTGTGGCTCGTTCCCAGCAAACAGCAGCCTGGGAAGGAGGAAGGCAGCCCTTTCCAGAGGCCCAGCGGGGAGGAAGTGCTGTTGACACGAGCCTGAAGTGCATGGGCCCCCGGGTCAGCTCCCAGGACACGTGGGCGTTCACCCACAGCGCACAGCTCAGGAGGTCCGGAAATTAGTCGCATCACGGCATCCGTGGTGGTAGCTTCTTCTGCCCAGATGGCCAGGATGCCGAGCCTGGCTCCCTCAGAAAGAGGTGAGGCCAACTGTGGCAGCCCCATCGATTCTGGTTAGTTAACGCCACTCAAAGAAGTAGTTTAGCCAGCCAGTTTTGGACCTTGAGTCCTTGTGTTAGTTGAAAAGGTCAGTGCAGGCTTGAAGGGCTCTCTCATTTCCCTGGAAATGTAAGGATCTATTTCTCTGGGCTTGAAGAAAGGTTAGTACCTCTGTTGTCACTTAAGTTCCACATCATGTTTTATGCACAAACCAGGCCGGTGGCGGCCTGACTAGAAGCATCACATTTCTCTCTGCGAGAACACAGAATGCTTGCAAGACAGCTCGTGTTCAGAACCTCTTGTTCCAAGCCCAGTGCCTGTAGGCACCTGGCCCACGCCTGATTCTATAAGTCTTTTTTTTTTCTCTTAAATCTACTTACTGCTACCAAAAAACCTCCGTATTAGCTCTAACAGAAACAGTTCTCTTCCCTTTTATACACACACTGCAATGCTTTATGTGATTTGTTCATTAAAATGTCTGGGACCTGCATTATTATGTGATTCATAGTAGTTACTTACATAATTATAACAGGTGTAGATCAGCTGAGAAATGTCTCTAAGAATATACATAGCATACAGAGGCGTCATTACTGCCACCGTCCCTACCATCGTCCCCAACCCTGTCATCACCGTCCCCACCACCATCATCACCCATCCCCATCCCCGTCCCCATCACGACTTCACCATGGCCAACTACATTCTTATCGCCATCATTACGTCAATACTACCAATGTCATCTCCATTATCACTGTTACCATAACTATTATCAAAGTTAGAGATTTTTGAGCATTAATGTCAGGGTCTGTATTAACCACATTTCACATACTATTTCATTTCATCTTTCTGAAGCTCTAAAAAGTAGCAAAAATCTTGTTTGCTTTTTCTGTTTCATGCTCTGTGTGTGTAAGAATGGAAGGTCATCTATGTGTGGGGGCACGTGCCTTTAATCCCAGCACCCAGGGAACGGAGACAAGTGAGCTCAATGCCAGCCTGGTTTACATAGCTAGGTATTGCAGACTACATAGTAAGACCCAGACTCAACAACAACAAAAAGAACCAGGTTCAGTGGTTAAGAGCACTGACTGCTTTTTTTTTTTTTAGAGGTCCGATGTTGTGTTCTCCGCACCCACTTGGTGACTCATAACCTTCTGCAGCTCCCACAAATCCTGTGTCAGGGTTTTCAGTGTCCTATTATGGCTCTGTGGGTTCTACATACACGTGCATGCACACTAACGCAAGCAAAATAAAAGTTAAAATCTGTTAAAAAAAAAAGGTAATGAACAGAATGTCAGCAATGAGGATGGATGGACTACAGCGAGGATATGAGCTCAGCAGTGTCTATGGATGGTCAGCAGTGAGGATGGGAGATCAAGCACTGAGAATGGACAGCCTCCAGCAAGAATGGATGGTCAACAGGGAGGACGGATGGTCAACAGGGTAGGGTCTATTGTGACTGATGCAAGTCAGCAATCAGGGCTGGAGGTATAATGTGAGGAGACGCTGGGTGGCATCTTAGATACCGTGAAGTCACGAGAGGGTCATCACGTCAAGGTCTTCTTACCCTAGTCACGTTGGGTTCCTAGCAGGTCTTAAATGTCAGGAGCTCCCATCCATCGAGGCATTTCCACGCAATGTGGTACGTGGGCGGAGGAAATTAAATCGTGTGACCCACATTCCAGATGGGGTCTTCTGTAGTTGGCTAGTCCTTTCTGGAGATATTCTCACAGGCACCCCGGAGGCACGTTATTACTCACTTAGTCTTCTCTCAATGCGATCAACATGACAGTCAAAAGTGATCATCACAAGGTGTGCGGCTTGAAGCACCAGTGACTAATTGAATCAGGCGTTTGTCTTTAATGGTACCCTAATAGTACTTCTTGCCACACCAGTAGGACCTAGCTGTCCAACTTGAAGCAGCGAGATAACCTCTGAGATCTGATGTCCTATACTCAGGCTCTGGTCTGTTACAGACTGTGCATGAATTGTCTCCTAAGGGATTATGCTCTGAAAGCGTGGTCTCCGGATGGTAGATCATGAAAACTAGCTTCATCAGTGGACTGATACATTGATGAGTTCATACGGAATGGAGGATGTGGGGTCTGGTTAGAGAAAGTAGGTCCCTGGAGGTGTGTATCTTTGAAGTGTGTCACTTCTCGTCCCTTTCTACTTCCTGCCTGCTGGGAGATGAAGTTTTGTTTTGCTTTGTTTTTTTCATGGCCATCCATCATGATAAATGAGGCAGAACAGCCACCGACTGGCCACAGACTGAGAGCGAACCCTCTGAAACCACAAGCCAAAATAAATCTTTGTTCCTCCGAGTTATTTTGATCTGGCATTTTGTCACAGTGACAAAATGGGTTACTAATGGGGCACAGAGTCGTGTCCAAGGTCAGAAATGGGATGGAGCCAGAGTCGGGGCTTTCAGGACACGCTGAGTACTAATCATTCTACCACCCTCCCCAGCCATGCCTCCTGGGGTAGTCATAACCCCAGGCTCCATAAAGCCAACTTTCTTTTCAGCAACATCTCCTACCTATTTGCCAGTCTCTGTGCTAACTCCCCTGGATTTTGTGGCCAACGCCTGCTGTGCTGGCTAGGACTGAGAATCTTTGGGTATTCAATTAGGACAGCCGTCAGCCCCTTCCTCATCGCTGATCTTTCTGATTAGACCATGCACACAGCTGCCCCCTCCTTCAACTGGGACCTGCCCTGGCATCCTCGCCCAGATCACTTCTCAGCCCTCTGTTACCTCCAGGAACCATGCGTGTGCTACGTATTTTGGGTTCACACTGATCTTTCTCCTCGCCCAGATACAGGGTCAGTTAGTTACTCCTGAGAACCCTATGGCACCGAGAAGACAATGTCCCTGGACATCAATGCCAGGGCTGTGCCCGTGAGTATGTTGTGACAAAAGAACTTGGGAGGCCACCCTTCTGGCAACGAGTAACAGAGAACGCTTCGCCTTGAGCTCGGTTCGTATTGTTTGTGTTTCCCCTGCAACCCTGCTGCCCTTTGTTAAAAATTATTTCAATAAGAAATCTTTCCACCACTCCCTCCTTTTGGAGACACCAGCTTCTGGGCAGCAGGCTGCCACTCCTGATTTCTCCTGAGGACATGTGTGCAGACGGAGAATGTCCTCTGGCCTATTTGTGGGGCGATCTGATGTAGGGGTCCTCCCTATATCATCCTTGTTTTCTTTTTTCTTTCCCCCTCAGACCTTCATAGGGCAGATATCTCATAACACACCAAGGAAGAAGGGCCTCGGGACCCTCTTGAGGTGCCTCCTTTGCTTCCTTCACTTCAAGGCTTGACCTCAGGCCTGGGCCACTTCACGTCAGCTCTCTCCATTGTATGTGACAAAGCCCTTCCATCTTCTGAAGGCTCCCTGAGGAATTGCTCTCTGCCTGTGCAGCTGTGTGTGGGCTGGCTCAATTCCAAGCTCAGAGGAGGACATCTGACGGTGGCAAGGCCAAGCAGACACCTACCTGTTGGTACCAGCTCTTACACAATTGATTTGTTATAGTTTGGATCTCATGAGTTCCCCAGAAGCCATACGTTGAAGGCTTGGTCCCTCTCTGGTAGTGTTGGAACTTCTAAGAAGGGGGACCTAGTAGACGCAAGGTCATGGGACACATGCTCTTCAGGGGGACATTGTGGTCCCAGCCTTTTCTTGTCCTCCTCTGCTTTCTAGCTGCCGTGAGTTAAGCAGCCACGCCCTTCTTTTATGCACTCCCTGGCAGAACTGTTCTTCCCACAGACCCCCAAAACAACAGAGCCAACTAAACATGGACCCAGACTTCAAAATCATGAGCCAGAATATCCTTGCCCTCTCCCGTATTTACTTCTCTTAAGCAATTTTTTAGAGTGCTATTAAAAAAATGGTCGGTACAGGGTGGAAGAAACGTTACAGCGTGGAGAAGGGATGCCCGTGTCTTCCTAGACCTCTTTTCCCCTCGACTTTTGGAGGGTTTCCTGTGTTGTAACTATTCATCAATTATTTTTAAACAACCTTCGTGTGAGGTGTCAAAAAGATCCTCAGGAACCAAAAGTAAGACACACTGTCTTAATTTAGGGCTTTACTGCTGTGAAGAGACACCATGGCCATGGCAACTCTTATAAAGGAAAACATCTGACTGTGGCTAGCTCACAGTGTCAGAGGCTCAGTCCATTATCGGGAGCATGGCAGCTCGTAGGATCACAAGGTGCTGGAGAGGAGCTGAGAGTTCTACATCTGGACCTTGAGGCAGCAGGAAGAGGGAGTGACACTGGGCCTGGCTGGAGCTTCTGAAACCTCAAAGCCTGCCCCCCCTGCCCCCAGTGACACACTTCCTGCAACAATACCATACCTGCTTCCAACAAGACCATATCTCCAATGATTGCCACTCCCTATGAGCCTGTGGGGGCCATTTTCATTCAAACACACACACACACACACACACACACACACAGAGAGAGAGAGAGAGAGAGAGAGAGAGAGAGAGAGAGAGAGAGAGAGAGAGAGAGAGATCAATCCACATCCCCAACATAAGCAATTTCTCTAAAATGTTCGGTAGTGTTTTCTTGGAAGAGCGAGTGAATATGTTCCTAAAATCATGTTCTATTCATTCTGAGTAGAATACTCTGGCTTTTGCTCTCCTTCAGGTTTATGAGCTCTCTTAGTGTGACGCAGACTTGTCTCTGAACTAAGGTTCATTTGTAGGACTGCGGAGACAGCGAGGCTGTGATAAGAGTTGAGGATCTACCATCATGCCCAAGGTCACCACAAATGTGTGTGTCACCAAATGCTGAAGTACATTTGCTCTGATGGGACCTGTGTTTGACTTCTTGAATGCTTCATGTCCAGTTCCATACAGAAATAAAGATCCTATGTCCTCCTTCCTGCCTCCCAAATGCCACCATTTATATTCTGTATTTGCATGTGACGGGGGGGGGGGGCAGAAAGAGGCAGATCAGCCAGGGACACAGACACACTCACACAGATCAGGAAAGGAGGTATGCACACACAGCCTAGAGCAGTCGAAGGCAGTGACAATCACCAATGTGGGAAAACATTTCCCCTAAGATCGTGGCTGGATGCGGGGTCATGTGCTCCCTTCTTAGCCGGAGGAAAATCCTGAAGGAACACGTAGGTTTAGGGTTGCTCTAGTCTGAATTGTATCCCTAAACTCCGGTGCTGGGATCCTCAACCCCGAGATGATGATACTTGGAGGCATAACTTTCAGAGCTGATGGGTTCGTGAGGTAGGCCCCAGGAAGAGACCAGTGCCTACGCCAAGGGACACCAAGTGAGCGTGTGTTGCCCCCACCACACGAGGACACAGAGAGAAGGTGCCATGTATAAGTCACAGAACCTGACCATAGGTGTCCTTGCCGGTTGCTGGAGTACTTTGCTATGCTGGTGATGCTGGCCTGTGACTGTAATCATCTGGGCCACCTCCAGCCTCCCTGGAAGAGGTACAAGAACCCAAGAGACTGCGGGGAGACCGTACCTGTGTGCTCTGCATTCCCAAGAGAGCTGCGTCTCTCCTTTAGGAAACACACAGGTTGGATCTACATCAACTCCCTGTGTGTAGGCGCTGGCAGCTTCCTGTGGCTTCCACAGCCCCTGTAAGGTGGGCAGTGCTGCAGTGGGAGCCAGGATTCAACTCTGGACACTAAAAGCCAGCGAGTCACTGCCGCCATGGGAAAGGACAATGACAAGGCCAGGAAGGGGCATTTCCTTCGTTCCCCCATCTGGCAATCAGGCCTGGCTGAGCAGCACAAAGTCTGAGGGTCCTGGGGTGTTTGTCTTGGCAGGCGTTTTTATGGCCATCGCTGTTATTCATGGCCATGGTTATTCTTTCCTGAAGCCTGCTGCGGCCTCACGATGCCACGGCACCATTCTGATGTACAGCCATGACAATGGCACTCTAGGTGGACGGGAAATCTCATTTCCTGACTAGAGGAACATTCCCTTAGGGAATGCCGGCCACCTCGCCACGGCCTTTGGAAAAGACTTTCCCTAGTCACTGCGGCGACGGTCCTGCTGGAGCGTGGCCTTGCACGAGCCCTGCAGACCTCAGGAACAACGGAGTTCAGACGCACTGTTCACGGCGCGGTCACCTCCTGGTGCCGTGACAATGAGAGTATATGGCCTTAAATGCCGTCCTAGAGCCTCCATCCAGCAGCCGATGGAAGCAGAAGCAGAGACACACAGCTAAAGCACTGAGCCAAACTCCTGGGATCTAGCTGTAGAGCGGGAGGAGTGATGAGCAAAGGAGTCAAGACCAGGCTGGGGAAGCTCATGGACCCCAGTCTGACAGCTGGGGAACCAGCATAAGACCGAACCAGGCCCCTGAATGCGGGTGTCAGTTAGGAGGCCTGGGCAGGCTATGGGGCCTCTGGTAGTGGAACTGGTATTTATCCCAAATGCACAAGTGAACTTTGGGAGCTTGTTCCCCATGGAGGGACACTCTCTCAGCCTAGATACATGGGGGACGGGGCCTAGGCCCTGCCCCAAGTGATGTGACAGACTTTGATAATCCTCCATGGCAGGATTCACCCTCCCTGGGGAGTGGATGGGGGTGGGATGAGGAATCGGTGGGGGGCATGGGAGGATGGGAGGGAGAGAGAACTGGGATTGATGTGTAAAAGATTGTTTCTAATTCATATATATACATACATATATGTCTTATTTCTGAACACTGGAAATAACACCATGGTGTCAGTGTCCTCTCCATTTCCTGAGACCTGATGGAGGCACACATAAGCTTAATCCATCCTTCAAACATCCTGAGCTGGCGCAGACGTCTCAGGAGAAATCCACTGAAAGTCCCTTCCTCTGAACACGTGAAGGGCTGGAAAGGGACAGTAGGAATGGGTCCCTTCCTACACATTCAGCTGGGATGGGCAGTCTCCGAGCTGCTAAAATGCCCCAAAGCAGCTTTCTTGCTTCTCTTCTCTGAACCATGTCTGGGTGTTTATCAGCGGCAGCAGAGCCACACTGACTTCAAAGGGGCCGAGACGGCTCTACTACCTCCAGTGAAGGAGGCATGTGGCTCTAAACCGGTCATTTTACGGGGACAAGAGATGCCTCCTTCTCTGTTCTGCAGCCCCAACGCTGGGCCCAGCCCCTCTGACTGAACTGGGGAGACAAATTTACCAAGCGTGGTGGCTACGGAGAGCTTGTTATTTGAGAAGGGAGGACAGAATGTGAGACTATTCCGCTGGCAGGCATGGGCTAGCCTGAGGCGGTCACTAACCCAACTAACAATCACGTACATCCCCAGGATTTAACTTACAGGCATTGGGATCACGCACACCCCTGTGTGAAAGCCTTGTGTACGGATCCGTAGCTTGTTGGCTTTTACCATTATGACAATACGTTCTACCCTCAATCAGTCCTGGCCCTGGTACCATGTTCCATCAACATGGAACTTCAATTGCAAATACCAGTGGGCGGTTGTTATCTTGTATTTCACTCCCATCTTTTCTGGAGTTCAGTGAACACATTGTAGCTTTGCTCAACAGTTGGGCCCCAGATGTGTCCAGAGAAGAACAGAGCCGGAGCTAAAGTGCCCCAATTTGGCTTCTGAGAGAACCCCAGAAATCCTAAAGAAACAAGGTATCTGTGTCTAGCTCAGGCCAGCCTTCCCACAAGCTTAGGAGAGCAGTGAATAGAACCACGCAGAACAGAGTTTTGTTGCAGGGAGAATTAGCTCACCTAGAAGTGGACACCTATGCTTCACAGAGCAAGAGACTTCCCATTGTTAAGACTAGCCTTTCCTCGCCCGAATTCAAAGACGTGTCTTGTTTGCTAAAACTCCCTACCAATGGTACCATCTCTGCTTAGAAAACTATCTTCCTGGAAGTTCCCCCATCTCTGGCAACTTTGATAGAGTCTATCCTGGTGGATCCTTCTTGGGCATCAATGTGACCTTATCTGCGGTTGTCCACATGCAAGCTGAGTAGATTCCTGATCCATGTGAGCTCTTGTAATGAGTGTGAACAGGAAGCTTGTGTTGAGTAAACTCGTCTCTTCCAAGGCCCCTACTGGCTCCATCCAAGCATGTCTCTGTCAGTCCCCACTGAGAGAATCACCACTCTGAGGTGGGAAGGTACAGCTTAAGTGACCACACGTCTGGACAATCGACCTTGTACTGTGGGAGAAATTGAGTTTAGAGTGAGGTGGCTTTCCTAAGCCCCGTCGAAATCATGTGGGCGGTCTCACTGAGGGGGTCCTTGCCCATCTTGGCACACAGCAGGATGACGGACTGGGCCCTACCATCTCCTGTGAGGTCTGAATGGGGTTGCTTCCCCCACTAGGTGAGGCTTCTCCTAGGCTGCCTTCTCAAAGAACAAGACCTTGATAACATCCCACAGAGAAGTTGGTGTTTGTGAAGAGCATCAGCAGTGACCAAGCTTATTCCTTGCAGGACGGTTAGCGGTGAGGGCAGGTCCCAGCTCCAGCCTGCAACTGAGGAGAAACGGGAGGTGAGGACGAGGATGTCTCTGTGGTTAGCAGTGGCTCTCCTCACAAGTGCTTCAGGTGTTGGGCAGTGAAGGCACAGCTGGGTGCCTTCCATACAGTCAGAGATCTCAAGAACAGCAGAAGCAGCCCGGAGAGAGGACAAACTACTAGGAAGCAGGCAGCTTTACTGCCCCAACCACCCTCCGTGTGGACCTTCCCACTCCAATGGAACCAAAACTCCCTTCTAGACACGTTCAAAGGATAAAGTCTCACCGTGGCAAGAGGACGCTTCTCTTTCTGGGAATTAGTTTCTTAGACCCCTCGCTCTGTCCCGTTTCACTGACTCCAACTGAAATGGCTGACAGGTAAGCAAGCCACTGTCACCAGCTCTTGTCTGGACCTGGAACGACATCACCAGGTCTCAATGACTCCGACAGTGTGTGACCTGAAGGAGCACCCCCCCCCGGGAGCTCCATGCCCTGTGTCTCCCTACCTTGCCTTGGCTGGCTGCAAGCCAACTCTCTGCAGGACAGAAAAAAAAAAAAGCTTTGTTTTAGCTTCGTGGGAGCAAGTACTATTTTAATTACAGTCTAGTGAAAAAGCCTTCGGTGGAGGTCCAGGGGACTCTACTATTTTGAGATTAGGTGGTTAGATTTAGTATGTTCTAAATTCTGACTAGTGGAGTGACGTTGCCCTCTGCTTATCTCCAAGGATGTGTCGTCAAACGTTAATTCAGTAAGGAAAGCTGCAGGGACAGCTCTACTTTGGATAATACTTCAGTGGAGACGCAATGCCGGCCGCTTCCGTGCACAGCAAGGCCCCCCTCTCATCGGTTTCAATCATGTGATTGCCGTTGGCACTCCCT